GAACCCTTTTTCTGGCTCGATGATATTTTTTCTTCGTGCGTACCATTGTAGCAGCTACTCACGATACTCGCGACGCTTGTATTTGCCTTGAGAGAAGGATTGTAACATGAGATGATGAATAATAATTGTTTGGCATCATTGCTTTTCCCGTGCTTATTTCCTCAAGAGAATCTATTCAAAGATGAATGCTTTTTTGGTAGAAGTTGCAAGTTATGTTTTATGGTGCCAACTACTGGAACGAGTTAGGATTATAAGTTTGGGAACGCGAATGCAATAAAAAAATTCATGTGGGCGTTCGATGATGCAATTGTACACGATTTGTTTTAAATCTTTATATAAAACAATAGGAATTTGAGAAATGTTGGGCTGGTCCTATACTGGCTCTGGTAGTAGGAGGATATAGGGGGGTTAGATGCTACATCGGGTGATATATACCGGATGCTTTTTAACCGTTGATGAAGGTAATAACTGCTCACTAAGCATACGTACACATCGGTGCGTGTAATTATGTGCAGATCAAGAGTTAAAAAACACCCGATGTAGCATCAAATACCCCGAGGATGGGAAACCATGGAAAATTCCGAGGTAATTGTTTGTTTGGCTGAAAATGGCAGATGAAAGAGTGTGGCTTGTATTATTTAATTTTTTGTTTGTTGTGGTTCATTAAAGTTGAGTAAGACACTTCAATCCTCAATCCTCAATCCTCGAGACAAGGCAATTTCAATGTCAATATTGTGTGTGTGTGTGTGTGTGTGATTTTTTTTCTTTCTTGTGTGTCTTCGATTTTACTACAAAATAGTTGTAACTTTATTTAGCTCCACCATTTGTTTTAGTATCAATTAGTAGTAATGTAGAAATAGTATGCTGTTTTTCACTCTAACTCGACTGATTTGACCGTTGTAGTGCTGACATCGGAAAAACGTTTCTATCACTCCTTTTTGCAGGTCTTCTAGGGCAGTTAGCTCTTTCTCGATCGGGTTTTTCTTCGTCTTGAGCTTCTCTTTCTCCCTAAGATCCATTTCCATTTTACTATTGTTGTTAGAGTCATTTAGGCTTTATCAATAGAACTATAAAATAAGATTTATTTATTATTATTTTTCTTTTTATTTTTCTCGTAGGGTTGGTGGGAACGCCTTTAAAGCCCTTATTTACCAACTCTCCTTGCATTATTGGGGTTGTTATGTAATTTTCTCTGATTTGAGGGGCCTGCTCGGAAAGAATCCAAATATATGGGGGGTGCACAGTTTTGCCACCCTAGCATCAAATGCTTATTGGGATTCGTAATGCAGCCACTAGTATACCAAATATATTTATCTTCAATATGTATATCATTTTTTGTATATAATGGAAACGAATTTTCAATTTCTGTCGATTTCGATTTGAATTTTTAAGTTTGAAACAATATTTATCATACAAAATATTAATTTTCCGATGTTTTATGACAAAACATTTTTCAAAGTTACATTTTCTTTTAAATTAAATTTATATTATCAATATTAATATTAATACATAATGTTGTATTCCATAGATTTCCGATTTGAAAACTTTCGATTTCGGAATATTTCATTCCAACTTCCATTATTTTTATTAATAATTGTTTTAGAATGAAACTACAATTAGTTTTCACCACCAGGAAAAAAAAATATATAGGGTTAAATAAAAAAAAATCATCACAGTAGAATCTCGACAAATTAATAATATCCCTTAAATAATAATTTCTCTCGATTTCGATTCGATGAAAATGTATTAGATTTATTAGTTCGATAATTTAATGTTTCGCTAAATTAATAATTTTTTATTAGTTTCGACTGTATTAATTTACTGAGGTAAATTAAATTAATAATTTTACTTAAATAATAATTTCTCTCGATCACGACTCAATGAAAACGTATTAAATTATTAGTTAATACTTCACTAAATTAATAAATTTTATTAGTTTCGACTGTATAAATTCATGGAGGGTTGCGTAATAATAAAATTTACCCAAAGTAAGAAGAAAGTAGTTTCGTACAAAGAGGTGGTAAATTATTTGTTTCTCTCACTACAAATATGGAAATTCACTTTTCCGATTCTTCAACGGTTCAACCTGAAATGTGAGGAGTTGCAGAGAAGAAAACCTTTTTGGCAGAGCTGATTTTCTATTTAATTTTTTTTTTTTTATAAATCAAATCAACGGCTGTAATTTTTCATGCTTGGCTGAATCATTTACACAAACACATGGCGAGTGAGTCCAGCGCCGAGTTTCACCACCGCCAGCAGGGCGTACTGTTCAATTCCGCCGGAGCGGCGAGGAGCAGCAGCGGCGGCGGCTCCGGTGGTTGTGAATTGATTTCGACAGCGAATTGTTACAGGAACTCCATGGGAAGCTGGAATTTGAGCGGAATTGACGGGCCGCCTCCTCGGAGGAGAGGAATGGTTTTCTCGTCCGTCGGTGCGCATCGGAACTCTGTGGATTCTTCTTCCTCGACGCTTGTAGTCGATTTGGTTCCCGGAATGAAGCACGATACAGGCCTGGCTGCGGATTGGTCGATCGATGAACAGTACAAGTTGGAGGAGGGGCTTACCAAGTAGGTATTTTCTTCCTTGTTACGGAAAGAATTAGGAAAATTTCTGCATTTAGGGCTAAACTTGGTAATGGCAGATGAGAAAATCAAAGCGTTATCGTATTTTCAAAATTTCTGGATAATCTGTGTAGAAATACTTGTGCAGTGAAATCTTAATTGATAATATAAGCCTTAGTTGGTATTTGAATTCAGTACTCTTGGGTGCATTTGTTTCCCATTCATAATCTAGGTTCCAGTCTAATACATCTGTATCAGGCAATCAGCTTCCCATTTTATTCCGTGGCTCGGATGATTCACATCTTATAACGGCTTAGTTTAATATGTATTTCCGCTTTTTATATTTTCTTCTGTCTCACGGCGGCTTCTTTTCAACGTGTTGTTAGTGGTAATATCGGGACTGTTCTCATATGGAGCATATGTTGCATTTACATAAATGTATTCTATTAGTTTCCTAATAAACAAAACCCAATTTCATCTGGTTGATTTCATCTGGTTGATTCCCTTTCGAAATCTGCAGATATGCCAATGAACCTAATGTTTTGAGGTACATTAAGATCGCTTCCTCACTTCGTGAAAAAACCGTACGAGATGTTGCTCTTCGATGTAGATACATGACAGTAAGTTCAAGGTCCTTGTAAAGACTGTTGCTAATCATAATATTCTCTTAACTCAGTTAATGTAATTTTGTTTTATCTTTAGATGTCTGACTTTACATGCTCATTAACTTTCTACCTGAAGTATTTACAAGGATGTGTCCTCATTTTTTTGAGTTGTGTATAGTGCCTAATTATTGATGTTGTCTTTCAGAGAAAGAGGAGAAAACAGGAGGACCAGCGCTTTGGGAAGCAAATGAGGGATCAAAAGGTAATATTCTTTGTTTTGTTTATAATACTTTGAACTAACTTTGCGGTATCGACCCTGGTGATGGCTGTGATGTAATATGTTGTGACATAGTCAAAAAAAGAAAAGCTGTTCAAGTATATTAGTGAATGTGCAGTCTAAAACTGAGTTTCCGTTAATACAATAAATCAGTTCACTATGCCGAAAGAATTGGTATTCTAAAGTTAACCTTTCACAGGAACAAATGGAGTTATCTTTGAAGAATAACATGTCTCCAGCTTCATCTGTAAATGTGGATCCATATTGTTCAACTACAAACCATCATGATCAGACTGATTGCATGCTTTCGGGAGGTTTGTCTCATTTGCTATTGTTACTAAACAAAATTTCTTCCGTTCCAAAAGGTGACCATATGGATGAGATTGATTCCTTGTTCAAACTGTATGTGTTGTTTTGAGACCCTCTCTGTTTATATTTTCTTTCAATTGAGCGTTATACTTTTCTTTTTTATTGCAAAGTTATAGTCTTATAGATATTGCCTGGTAATTGTTACTGAAGTCATTTGTTACTTGACTGCGTTCACATGTAAGTTTGTTTCTGTTAAATGAATTTAGAAACTCTGGCCAAGTGGACTGTTAGATGTTCCCGTTGCCTTAACCATTCTTATATAAAATATCCTAGAAATTTGCCTGCATGCGAGGCATCGTATACATGCTAAATGAAGCATTCTTGTAATGTAACAGAGACCATAATTGTGCACCGTTATGACAGTTCATTGTCCAAGTGTTTTATGAGATCTTGATTTTAACAAAGAGCACTTTCCCCAAATTAGTTAAGCAAGGTACCAAAATTGTACACTGACAATTCATAGGTTAGCCAGTCAATTTTTCACTCCATTTACAAAGCATTGTGAAGCTTAAGAGTTAAGGTTACCTTCTGAAATGTATTGCAGCTAGATTGATTGTCGAGATAAAAAAATATTAGTGGTATATCTATATACTGAGGAGATGGTAATTAGGGTCTCTAAACCTCGGCGAAAGAATTGCATGATATTTTTGTTTATGAATCGCTTCTAAATGCACTTGTTATTGTGGTACTAAAATGTTGGATGTTCATTTATTAGCTTCAAGGTGATGTACACTTACACCAGAAAATATTTGATATGTCTTTCAGTATTGAGTGGCAAAGCCCGACATCTGTTGGAAGAAAATAATCAGGCTTTTGGTCAAATTTCAGTAAATCTTTCAACTCTCAAGGTAATGCCCAAACCCCTTTGCTCTCGCGGAATCTGGAACTTGCTTTTCTGTAACTATAGCTTAATAATTTTCTTTTAGTACGCGACAAAGACAGTTTATCAGAAAAGTATACTTATTGACTATTTTGTTTAGGATGAGTAATGCTCTATAATCACTGAACATAGTTGCTTAATTAAATCGACATTTTTTTATCGTCAGCTACTAATCTTCTTCATTGACGACTAATCTAATTAACTGAGTTTGCTAATTCTGAATAACTACAAGTACGAATTATCTTATCAATTACCTATCTAACTGCAGGCAAGTAGAAGTTAGTTGACTAATAACCATGTAACTGTAACTGTAAAAAAATGAGACTATCATATGGAAAATGAAAAGTCAACAAAATCAGAAACAAGATAGTAATTAGCAGATTAGCTTTTACCTATTTAGGGGAGAGGTATTATCTCTTCTACATTATCATTACTGTTCTCTTTACCTTTTGAAGTTAACATATATTTGTCTCCTCTGATGTTCAAACTCTCGATACAGTTGCAGCAAAACCTGGATCTCCTTTTCCGAACAAGGAATAACATAATTACAATTTTGAATGAGTAAGTTCCTCTTACTAATCTCGTTAACATGAATTTTGGTGCTAATTGTATCTTAGTGAAGTTTTTTCGGTTTTACGCCTGCAGCATGAGAAAGATGCCTGGAATTATGAGCCGAATGCCTCCTCTTCCTGTGCTTTTACATGAGGAACTTGCTAGTAGTATTTTTCCACTCTCGTTTCAGGTACCGTGCAGTTGCAATTTTTGTCAAATATTAAAACCCACGCACTTCGAAAATCTCAGATAATTAGTTTCTTTTCGGTAGCATAATTGTGTTCTCATATTGAAGAGAAACCGGAATTTTTTTTAAAGTCCGTGAATGGACTTATTTTCCTGTTAGAGCCTTCAGAATTGGACACCGACAACTGAAAGATAGAGGAAAAACGAAGAGCACATATGAATTAAATGGAGTAGCAGATAAATTTTAAAATCGAGGACAATGAAATCTCGTGCTGCAAATGCTGCAGCTAGTTAATTATGATTTAATCTGTCTTTTACCCTGCGAAAAACGAACGACAAATTGTTATGCATTGTTGTTATTTTCTTTGCAGCCCATGATGTTTAGCACATCAAACGTGACACCATTGAAGCAGGAGCCAAGATGCTGATTGACTATTCTTAACTACTTAGTCTCAATCGAAATCAGGTTTACAAGCTTTTATTACGTCTTAACGTTATTCTCCAGAAATGTCGTTTTTTTGGAAGGGTGAACAGTAGATGGCAATAATGTTCATATCATTTATCAGTTGGAAGAAGAAGAAAAAAATGAAAAATCAAAAAAAAGAAAACGATGAACCAGATAATGCACTGATATCTAACGTTAGCTGTCCGCCTTTTTTTTTTTTAATGATTATTATGTAAATTTTCGGAACATAAACTAGTGTTGGAGGTTAGTTTGGTGCATAATTCATACCTATTTATTTACTTATTTTTGTTTTTTTTTTAAATATCATCATGTCAATTGCAAATGGAAAGCATCTTTTATGCAAATTTTGTGATTCTGAAATTTAATATTATAGGACAAAAAAAGTTTTTATTAAGATGAAGTGTTGATAAAAATTTAAAATCCAAGTAAATCCAAAAATCTGCACAAAGACAAATTTAGTAATGTGAACAATTTCAAACCGTTGAAGTAGACTTTTTAACACTTTTGAGTTCCCACGAGCAGTTGACCATCCTATCGAGATCCTACAACCGGTAAAATATATGATCTGTCTTTAAATAGTAGATTTACAAGAAATAATTATTCACTAAGTACATATACACATTGGTATATGTAGATTTACAGTGTAAAATTACATGATATATTTCACCAGGTGTAAGTTCTACAAAACCCTATCCAAGAATGCGGTTGTTTTTTAGAGAAAATAGTGAGGAAAAATAAATTAGATACAACTTACATCTATAAAGTTCGATATTTCTCTACTTAAAAAAAATTAAAATGTTAAAACATTTTATAGTACTCGTTATTAACACAAAGTACTCGTTGTGATCGTTGAAAGACGATCGGTCGTGGAGTGAGGATGCCCAAAAACTTTACAATTTCGGTGGTCGTGGAAAACCAACCGCTTGCGGTATGTGGATGCTTGAAGAACTTATGATTCGAGTTCGTTCATGAAATGGTGATCTTGTTCGGAGAACACAATATATTCTTCGTGATAATCGGGTTTAAGAGTTTCAAATAAAGTACACTGCACAAGCTTATGGATAAGTATGCACTGCAGAATGATGGCCGAATAAATTTGATAATGTTAATGAAAATTCTTTATATTTCTTGCTCGGTTAAATTTATATCGCTAAATTCCCATCCCGACTCGCACCTCTAAATAACAGTTACGGTTCGGTTACTACCAACCTCAGCAAATAAAAGTCGTGTCGCCTAAAATATACTAAAATTTAACAGGGGCAAAACCGTAATTTAGTAATACCCCCAAATAGACAACCTTATTTTGTTATTTGATTTTTTGGCGTAATGAATGAAGACCAACTTCCTGCATGTTCCCACTACTACAATGGCAGCAGCAGCAGCAGCTGTGCTCCCAGGAATTTAATGCCTTTGTTTTAAAAACACCAGTTTCCCAACGCCTCTCTCTCTCTCTCTCTACTTTCTCTCTCTACAAAATTCTTGATTGAGAAAGAAAAAGGCAACCGCCGCCGCCTCTTTTGGACCCCAGAAAAAGAAAAACAATATAATAATAAGGGTAAATGGTATCGTGAAATTACGAAAAATCTTCTTTTATTTGGATAACTATATTTACCCTTCAATTATGAATCTTCTTACATCTCCATCCTTTTTACACCTCCATCCTAATGGTGTCAAATTCAACATAATCATCTAGATTTTATAAAATGTTCCCGAGTTTGTACTCGTTTTGTGTAAAAATACAGTTTCTGATGCACCACAATCTGATATATACAAGCCAAAAAACACATCTTATGATCATTTTGCTTCAAAATATGGAACTCGAACAAAACAGGTACAAAAGTGATAATATTCCATATAATCATTCAAATTCCACTAAATTTGAAACTGCAAGGGTGGACGTGTAAAACAATTTATAGTTGAGGGGGATTGTTGTAATTACCCAAACATAAGAGAGATTTTCGTAATTTTATCATACCTCAAGGGTTGGCTGTAATTAACCCTAATAATAAAAAAAAAGTTGGCCTTTTTTTGAAGTCAAAACTATTATCAATTCCCCCCCACCTACATTCACAGTTCCACTCTCTCTCTCTCTCTCTCTCCTCACTTTCTCTCTCTTCCACCATTCACTTTTGCGCGTGTTCTTTGATCAAAACACTTTAAACAAACAAATGAGAACAAGATCAAATTTTTGATCTCGCGAAACTGTGAACCCTAATTCCTTCGTGAGATGACTGTGTTGTTGTTGTTGTTGTTCATCCGTACAGTTTTCATCGCCGTTTTTCTCGGATTCTCCTGCCGAGCACAGAACTTCACATGCTCCACAGAAGATTCCACTTCTCTGGAGGCTTTCGCTCGCCACCTCGATTCGGGTCGGGTCGACGGGTGGGGCGGCGGCTCCGACTGCTGTCAATGGGTCGGAGTCACCTGCAGCAATTCGGGTCGGGTTATCGAGCTGGACCTCGCGAGGAGAAGGCTCGCCGGCAACATATCCGATTCGTTAGGTAATTTGGGGGAGCTCAAAACCCTAAACCTGTCGCACAACTTCCTCAGAGGCGCAATCCCTAACTCGCTTCTGCATCTGCCATTGTTGGAGACCTTCGATTTGAGCAACAACGATGTCTCCGGCCAATTCGATAACACCACCACCGCCGCCGCAGCCAACCTGCCGTCGATCAGAGCTTTCAACATTTCCGACAATTCAATCGCCGGCGCTGCCCCTGTTTGGATTTGCAAAAATTCGACCGTGATTAAGGTTATTAATTTCGCCGACAATCTCTTCAGCGGAATCCTTCCTCTTGGACTTGGTGATTGTGCTTCTTCACTGGAGGAACTCGACCTCTCCGCAAATTTCATCCATGGCGGTTTCCCTGAAGATCTGTTTCACCTCCGAAATTTGAAAAAATTGTCTCTGCAAGACAACCAATTTTCCGGCCACCTCTCCGGTCATCTCTTCGGTAACCTCTCTAACCTCGTCCACATCGATTTGTCGTTAAACGAACTGTCCGGGAATCTCCCCGACATTTTCGACAGATTTCCGCATTTGAGATTCTTCTCAGCTCAATCGAATCGTTTTGTCGGTAAAATACCGAGGACATTAGCGAATTCGCCGACCCTCGTTTCTTTAAGTTTAAGAAACAATTCTTTGAGCGGCACAATCGATCTCAACTGCTCTGCAATGGTGAATCTCGTTTCGCTCAATTTAGCGACCAACGACTTTCGCGGCGAGATTCCGAAGAATCTTCCGGAATGTTCTAGGCTGAGAACAATAAATTTCGCGAGGATTAATTTCTCAGGGCAAGTCCCGGAGAGTTTCAAGAATTTCAGTAGCCTCTCCTACATTTCTCTCTCGAATTCGAGCATCTCAAATATCGGATCAGCCTTGGAAATCTTGCAGCACTGCAGAAATCTGACAACATTAGTTCTTACATTGAACTTTCGCGACGAAGCAATGCCCGATCATCTTGTTAATCTCGAGTTTAACGAGCTCAAGACACTTGTTATCGCTAGTTGCAGGCTCACGGGGAATATACCACAGTGGCTGAACAACTGCAAGAACTTGAAACTGTTGGATCTGTCCTGGAACCGTCTGGAAGGTTCCGTACCGTCTTGGTTCGGAGATTTGCCGTCTTTGTTTTATTTGGATTTATCCAATAACTCTTTAACAGGGAACATTCCGAAAGAACTCACTCAAATGCAGAGCCTTATAAACGGGAATGTATCGATGGAGGATCCCTCTCCTGATTTCCCATTCTTCGTGAGAAGGAACCGAAGCGGATTTCAGTACAGGCAAGTTGTGAGCTTTCCTCCCACATTAGAACTCGGAAACAATTTTCTTACAGGAGAAATTTGGCCGGAATTCGGCAACCTTAAGGAGTTGCATGTGTTGGATTTAAAATGCAATAATCTAACCGGTTCTATTCCGAGTGGATTATCCGGTATGAGGAGCTTAGAGACTCTCGATTTGTCGTTTAATAACCTCAATGGAACTATACCATCTTCTTTGAGCAAGCTCACCTTTCTTTCGGATTTTAACGTTGCCCATAATGCCCTCTCGGGTGCTATTCCAACCGGAGGACAGTTTCAGACTTTTTCCAACTCGAGCTTCGAAGGTAACCATGGTCTATGTGGGGACCACGGCCTTCCTCCTTGTGCACGAAGCAATAATAAAGTCCCTCATATACCATCCGATGGATCGAAGAAAAAAACAACTGCTATAGCAATGGGTGTTGGAATCGGTGGGGGCACTATTGTCATTCTCGCTATTGTATATCTAATCGTCGTGTGCTCGTGTAGGCGAAGAGGTGTCGACCCGGAAATGGAATATTCTCGTACTAGTAGTAAAACGGACTATTATTTCGAGGAAACCTCGAGCGTGGTTATTCTATGTCAGAACAAGGACAAGGACATCAACATTAGTAGTACTAGTAAAAAAGAGATCTTTCTCGACGATCTTTTGAAGGCAACTACCAATTTCGACCAATCAAACATCATCGGCTGCGGTGGGTTCGGTTTGGTCTACAAGGCGGTGCTCTCCGACGGCAGAAAGCTGGCCATCAAGCGGCTCTCCGGCGAACACTTTCAGATCGAGAGGGAATTCCGAGCGGAAATCGAGACACTCTCTAGAGCACAACACCCAAACCTCGTACGCCTCCAAGGTTATTGCAAGTACAAAAAAGACAGGCTTTTGTTGTACACATACATGGAAAACGGGAGCCTCGATTATTGGCTGCACGAGAAAGTAGACGGCCCCACCTCTTTGGATTGGGAGACCAGGCTGAATATAGCCAAAGGGGCGGCAAGAGGGCTAGCTTACTTGCACCAATCGTGCGAGCCTCATATTCTTCATCGGGATATTAAATCGAGCAATATTCTATTGAATGAGAAATTCGAAGCTCACTTGGCAGATTTTGGACTTGCGAGGCTGATTCTTCCTTACGATACGCATGTGTCAACGGATCTTGTGGGGACTTTAGGGTATATTCCGCCGGAGTATGGACAGGCGTCGGTGGCTACTTACAAAGGGGATGTGTATAGTTTTGGGGTTGTGCTTTTGGAGCTTTTGACCGGAAAGAGGCCGATGGATATGTGCAGGAAGAGAGAGAATCGGGATTTGATTGCTTGGGTGAGGGAAATGAGGAGAGAGGAGAGAGAAACCGAAGTTTCGATCCGTTTTTGTACGAGAAACGAAATGCTGAGGAAATGGTGAGTGTCTCGAGATTGCTTGCGTTTGTTTAAGTGAGAATCCGAAGATGAGGCCTTTTACGCAGGAGTTGGTTTCTTGGCTAGACAAAGTTGGTTCGGTGCCCGAAGACGAGTTGTCCTAATGTGGGCTCTCGGTTTTCGAAAGGGCAATTTTTTTTATTTCCCGGGTTTTTAGTTGTTCGATACGAAATGTATACTGGATATATGCTGTATATAATTGTTCAGATTATGGAGGAATAAGCATGTCATCTCCTTTTTCTCCCTTGAATCAGAAAATGAAATGTATATTTGGTTTTATTAAGTTATAGAAAATCTCACACAGTATCCACATCAAAAAAGAAAAGAAATAAAAACAAGGGCTGTGTTAGTTTTACTTGTACTTGGCCTGATTTTCTTACAAATTATATTTATGCGGGAAATCTTGTACTTTTGAATGGTGATAATTGCGTCAATTACACATTTGATCCCCGTGTTCACAATAAATACATTTGGTCCCTCGTAATTCAATAATTAATATTTTTTTATCATTTCCGTCAATTTACCGTTAGTTCGTGAGTTAAGGTAGTCATAGGCACACGCTTGATTCCGTTGTTACTAACGGATAGTGTTGAGTTTTTCAAAAATGAGGGACCAAATGTAGTTTTTGTGAATATAGAGGGTCAAATGTCAAATTGATGCAAACTTGAGGGATGAAAACTATATATTTCGTAATTGATGATATATTGTAAACTCTTGTTAGAGTTGCTATTGCTTCATATTTCACCCTATTTGTCTTTCCTCAAATGGGGGTGGGTGGTGGGGGTGGGGGTGGTCCTGAATGGGGGTGGAGTTGACATTCAACAAATCTGAAAGTCAACAATATTGTCAAGAGTCTATTATGTATATTGTCTACTAATCAATATGTTAATTAGTTGTAAGAAAGTCTCAAATCTAGAAAAGCTTTGACTATTCACAAAAAAACAAGAAATAATTGGAGGCATTTCAAAGACTAGATTTTGAATACTTATTTTTAGTTGGAAAATCAAAGTATTATATATATATACAACTGTATAAAATATAAAATATAAATTATAATATATAATATATTTATAAAGTACATCGCATAAATATAGTCAGTCAAGAATTGTGACTCAACCAGTTGGTAAGTTGACACTTTCCAATTCATTTTATTTAATTAATTAATGCCTTGTTCTTTGTTTGAAAAAAACCAGCTCGTATTTTTTATTTTCAAGTCAAAATAAATGGGTATTTTTTTATTACATGGAAAAATAAATGGGGTTTTTTGACATGTTGAGCAAAAAATCAAGTAAAAAACAATTTTTTATTGTTATTAGTCTAAGTCTCTACACATGCCACGGATAGTCGGCCGTAGCTCTACGCTTACGATCATGAATCGGTTTCGGTTGGTAGACTATTCATGTTACACACGGTGAACTTCACCGGATAATTTTTCACTTTTAATTTCCATTTCCCATTTTTGTTTAAAGTTCTTTCGAGCAGCTTAGACTGGAGTTTAGACCTACTGTATCTAAAAGCACTACACGAATAGATGCGCTCCACAAACAAAGTCCTCACCCGTCTAAACCGCCTATTTTCAGTCTAAGTTGTATATTATTACCTAAGCTCTCCCTCTAAGTTACCCGACGGACTTTAGGCAAATTCAAAATATTCGCCTCGACTTTAAGCTGTAAAAATAATTTTGAGGGACTTTAAGCTAATAATTCCTCAAAAACATCATACAAGAATAGTAAAAACGGGTTGAATATAACATAATCCTTAACCAGCTTGTATATATACAAGCGTGTTGCGATTCTTCGTTAACCCTTTGACGACTTGCAAGTTTCAATTCGAGTCCGTGACATAATCGAACTCATGGGCATATCTAATATAGCCCACTATCAAATAACTGCTAAAATTACCAATCTGCCCTCTCCACTTCGCTTCCATGATCAAACACTTCAAGAATTTGTACTCTATTTTTTAGGTGTTCTAACCCTAACCCGACCCAAATCCAGGATATGGGTCCAAATACGAGTCCCACTAACCACTACCGTAAGGTCATGTTACTCTTCGGAATTGGATTTTGTGGAATCATATTTAATGTGGAATTGCTTATCGACCCACACATTGTGTAACAAAATAAAATTATCTCGATATGTTCTCACAAAAACAGATACGAGGTAAGAATTCCATTGTTTTAAGAAACAAAAAATCGAATAGCTGTCCCTAATTCAAGCTCGCCAAATGATATCTAATCGTACACGTGTTATGATATCTCCTATATGCATCCATATGTATATGCGTATGGCAGTTAGGGTTAACAATAACAAATTTCGGTTGATGAAGGGGGAATAAATAAATATCCAAATAAAAAATGTATAAACTCAATCTTGATTTTTCTAATATTAAATAGTGAAGGGTCACATAAATATTTCTCTGGCATGATAAAAAAAGATAATCTCGACTATTTGTACCTCCAACAAAGGGAAGACTTAAAAGTTGTAGTATATATGTCTGTCATAAAAGGCAAATCTTTTACCTATAGGCCTCGGGCAAACGAAAGCCACTCAGTACCAATTTGTCTGCAAGCATTTTTCCGGTCTTTGGCATTACATGCCAATGCAATGTCAAATTAAAGTCTTTGCCACGTAGATTGCTTCCCTACAATGATATATATATAATGGAAATTAATAAAATTGTCTGCTAAAATCGACATAAGCAGATGTGCTTCAGAGAAAAATCACTCACTTGATCAATAAAACGGTACTTGTTAGTTGTGTCGATCCTAAGTTTTGCTTGCTCTTTGGAGGGTATGATACTATCCCACAACGAGATCTGCCAAAAGGGTGCATTTGAATCATTTTAAGATATATATGTTTGTGAAATAAACCACGAAAACGAAACATGGGGCAGTCGTAAGAAAGAGAAGTATGCATCCAAAAATATGTTTGAGAAGATTTATAACATAATTGTCCTAACATTTATTGCTAAATGTTGAAAATAAAGTAGGAAAAAACAATAGCCACAAAATGGAGGTTCGTGAATTAGTACCTGATTGAGCGCGTTCTTTGGGGTTTCATATTCTGCTGCTAAAAATACAAAGACCTGCAAAATATAATGTGGGATTTTGTCAGAATAAAATGAACTTTAACATAACAAGAAATGATTCAAATAGAAATATATGTTTTCATATTCAATAAAACTAATGAACTAAGATACACAATTCAAAATAAAAGTTATAGAAGTCCGTAGTAGGTTTACTAAAACAAGACAAGAAAGACTCTCTCTCTCTAAACCACCAGAGCATATGAATGATGAAGTCAAGGGAATATACACAGATGATGATCACATAGTACGAAAAAACGTTTAATTGGACAAACCTGCTTTGTATTCCAAGTAAATAGCGTCTCCAAGTTTGCTGATATGTCCAAAGTCAGGCTGACCTGCACATATAGAAAAAATCCTTATTAAAGAAATCCAGCAGTTCGAAGCACTATGTTGCATATCAGGAAAGTCTCGTTCTTGGACATTATGGAGTAACAACTTTATACTACACATATAAGTTTGAGAGGAACTAATATCCAGCTAATTGATTCAACCACGGCTAAAATTAGTGGGTAACAAATGGAACATATATTTTTTTATCCTTTTTTCTGAAAATGGAAGATACATACCGTAGACCAGAAATCTCT